CAAGACCTGCTGGAGACACGTGCACGCACGCATGCACACATGTGTGCGCACACACGTGCTCTGTTGCACACTTCCCCCGACGGTACGGGACAGCCGGGGAACCCCGTTCGGTTTATTTAAGGGATGGGAATAATCTACAAGGCTATCGTGGCAAAACGTTTCGAATAACGAAATACTGAGGTGTTGGGAAAGTCATGATGCGTGTTTGCACAGAGGAACGGAAAAATACGCCGTGAGTTTCCCAGCGTGCAGTAAGTGATACGCAGTCACCCTCACTGACGGCTGTCCTACCTACCCCTGGACCAGCGAGCAGTAAGTGATACGCGGTCACCCTCACTGACGGCTGTCCTACCTACCCCTGGACTAGGGAGCAGTAAGTGATACGCAGTCACCCTCACTGACGGCTGTCCTACCTACCCCTGGACTAGCCCGCAGTAAGTGATACGCAGTCACCCTCACTGATGGCTGTCCTACCTACCCCTGGACTAGCCCGCAGTAAGTGATACGCAGTCACCCTCACTGACAGCTGTCCTACCTACCCCTGGACTAGGGAGCAGTAAGTGATACGCAGTCACCCTCACTGACGGCTGTCCTACCTACCGCTGGACCAGCGAGCAGCGCTCCAGTGGGGAACCCCTTTCATGGTCTGTGATCTCGGATCCCCCCACAGCCTCTGTTCTGTCCCAGAAGCTGGTCAGTGCTCACTCCACGCAGCGTTCACACACGCAGACTGCATGCTTGTTTATGAACATGTGCTTTCTCGTGTAGTGTCCGCAGTAAACGCGAGTACGCCGGCTGTCAGTACCGACCCCTGGACTACTCCGTGTGCGCGTCTGCACGGACAGTTAGGTTATCCTATTACGGCACGGCATTGCCCCACACCTGCCGAGAAACACACACGCCGGGTGCCACAGCACACTACCAGACATCGGCCTTTGAGCTGCTCGGTTACCTACCCACCCGCTCATGATCAGCCTAGTCAGGAACAGAACTCGGGTGAGTGAGCAGCACGTATGTACACACAGGAAAATTTTCAAAATGCAGAACTATACAGCACAGCTATGATCGCCAATCAACTAAGAGCTCAAATCGACTCTGCATTTAAAAAAGGTCCCTCGTAAGCTGGACCACCCCGTTTCAGCACCGAGAACGGCTTCGGCTGAACTGCAACGACTACGGCGAGTGACACGCTCACCCACCCAACGCACAGCACGAGGAGAGGCGTGTGCAGTCACCTGTCTGCAGAGCAGCACTCGGCGCTGAGAACGAGGGCCATGTCTGTACCCCAGCTTCTGTGTATGGGGCACAGAACTTCTGGGGAAAAGAAATCCACTTCTGAGCCATTCTTTATAGCACTATCTGGCCAAAGAAGAGTACCTGTCTGCCAGTGACAGGCTTTACCTCCCTAGTGACTACAAGTCTGACGGAGCCGCGCCACGTTCCAGCGCTGTCCACAACCTTGACAAGTCGGCTGCATGAGCTAATCTGAGCAACATGAAAGAGCGCATGCACGCGTCTGTCTCAGAAGTACCGTCCCACAGGTTACGCCATTCCGGTCAGACTGGAGAAAGGAGAACAATGAGCTACTTGCAGATGATACTTTTCTTATAAAGAAGAATCAAATCTTTTCTTGAAAATGTGGCATCAATATTTCAGATTCCATTATTTGGGTCCAAGACATGATATTAAGTTCTAGTAAATCTAGGGAACAGCATTTAATTACTATCTTGGCCACACTCATCTAGAAATGCATTAAAAAAACCCTTCTGGGCAAAGGCATGAGGCCAAATTTGGGCTGTGAAAAGACCCTAAAGATCACTTATGTAACTCATATATTTACAACAAAAGAAACACGAAGCCTGGAGAAATTAAACCATGATGACCTGGGTCAGACCTAATCCTACTCACTGTGGGTCAGTTTAGAGTGGACCTGTTTCCAAGGGATCCTGAGGGGCAGTTTTCTGGGGATTTAGGAGAGATGCTTCTCCTTGGTGTGAAAACCCAAACATCACAGGGAGGTCTCCTTCCTTTCTGTGGCTCTCTGTCACGAGCTGCCCTAACAGGAAAAGCACCTGGCCCCGCAATGATTACACACACAGTAAGGCTCCGTTTAGTCAGGTAGCCGACTGTTTGTGAGGGGAGCCTTCAAATATAAAACCCCAGTATTTTCTAGTGAAATTACCTTACATATAGCGTATAATGGAAGAAAAGATTTCCTCCTCCTATTATAGAAGTGTATTTTTTTCATTACAGTTTTGTTAGAAAAATTATTAGGTGAATTACTAAGTAAGATGCTGTTTAGTGGCCCCCAAAACTCAAAAACCTGAGGATGTGGGGGCATCTCACAGCATGGTGGTCACGGGAGCTGGCCCTCATGTGGCCGACTGCAGTTCGAATCCTAGCCAAAGATTTAACAAATCTTAACACTATGAAAATGTTCTCAACCACTAAGAATCACAGAGAAAAAAGGCCCAATGGCAACCAAAAACATGTCTGCACAAAACACATGGACGACTACCCAAGAGTTACTCTCAGTAAGTGCCTAGTGATGAGTAAACAGATGTTCAAAGTCATGACAATTTTTTTCTTTTTTTTGGAGAGATTTTTTTTGCTATAGGGCACATGCACTCACCAGACAGACAGAGAGAGACAGAGAGACAGAAAGCGAGAAATCACCCCCCAGAGGGGATGGTCACGCCGCAATCCCTTCTCCTCCATTCTCCTCTTGAGATCTTAGGCATGCAGGCACATGCGCCCGGCATGAGTTTTAAGCCACTGGGTCGGGGACGCGAACCGCAGTCGACTATGTGGGAGTGCAGCGACATAGTCATTACGCTAACTGCTGGTTCCCATGACAATGCCTTTTTTTTTTTTAATTTAGGATAATTTGATTAAGTCCAGCAGAAAATCAAATGATGCTATTATCATCTGGTTTGTCCCTGGAAGGTGGCTGCTTCTCCTCCTAGGGACGCATGTGCTGGGACTTGCTTGCACTGTAAAGGCGTTAACTGAAAACTTCATTCCTTTATGGTGCCCCGGGTAGAACCTTTGGGTGTTATAATGTTATTAGGGCGGGCCCCTGTGACTGAGTTCTGCTGGGTACATAATTAGACTGAATGAAACAGAGAAACAGATGGACAGCTGGTCTGCTCAAAATCCCCACTCTCGCAATTCTGCAGGCTAACTTAACACCTTGCAAATTCTCAGTCACCAGAGTGGTGAGTCAAAATGAACCTCCACTCTGTAGTTCACCGTCGCAGGGATTTCTGTTGGCAATGCAAATGACTAAGACAGATGGCTACAATGAACTTTGTAAAGATGGAGAAACTGGCCATGGGAAATGGTGTTATAATCCAAGTGTTCTCATCACTAGTAAGTACTATCAAAATAAAACAAAAACAACAAGAAGCTCTACGAGTTAAGTAGAACAGTAAGTCTGTTTTCCTCTCTTTCAGAAACTTATGCCCCTATAACGACTTTCTGTCATAACAAAAGTGAACTCTCCAGCATTCCTTAATCAGATGCAGTAGCCAGGCGCTATATTTAAAATAAATCAATCCTGAGCCAGGTGGATGTCTCCAACGAAACATAAATTTGGAGGCAATTCACATCGAAAACATTTAAGAAACTATGACATGAAAACATTTTGGTGAATACTCAATGTTAGAATTAAAAACCATTTTAGCCAATGATTCAAATCTATTCAGATAATACAAATTGAAAAATAAAAGGTAACAGGTTTACTCGCTACCAAACACTAAGCGGTCACAGTAACAGCGCATGCGGTAAAGGGAGGCAGGCTTGACTCCAGAGGGGGCTGCAGAGCTGCAGTGGCAGGACCGCGGCGCCCTTCCTGTCATCTACTCTGCTGCAGCCACGTGGGCGGATCACGACCCCCCAGCCCCACAACTCAGAGCTACATCTGTCAGGAAAAGAGATGGCATATATGGACACATACACGTACGTGATTGCATATATAAACACCACAACTGAACCTGCGTATGTGACTGCATATATAAACATATATAAACACACACAACTGAACCTGCGTACGTGATTGCATATATAAACACACACAACTGAACCTGTGTACGTGATTGCATATATAAACACACACAACTGAATCTGGTCTTATCAGAGTAAGTCATGTATTCAGCCACAATTTAGTAAATTAGACACACAAAGAAAAATTTAGCCAGCCTTCCACTTTTTCTAAACTCATCCCTGTGTCACTTAAGAACACTAAATCTTACTAATTCTTTAAGTTTGAAAACTTTTCAAACTTCTCAAATATTTACTGAAACTAACCAGACAAAAATAATAGAGGCTTTATAACTTGTGCTCACCATGATTTCCAGAAAGTGAATTTTTAAAAATTATCAGCGAAGGGTGTGTGTGCGGCCCGCCACAATCCCTTCTCCACTTCTCTATCCTGTCGGTATTCTGCACACACGCACACACACAGCGCAGCGCGCTCTGCCAGCTGGCCTGCTCAGCCGTGTGAGATCCAGCTCCCCTCGTCTACAGGCAGGGGCTGGCCCAGAAACTCTGATCTCAAAATCAAATTAGATAGTATAAAAATTAGCAGAAATGTTTTTATTTCAAGTTTACAAAAAAGAATCCTCATTTCAAACACACTCGGAGGTAATTAACAGTAAAGCGTCATGACTTCACTTACTTTCAAATGAAGTTCAGCAAGAGAAATATACATATGTTCTGTGCAAATACAAGGCCGAAAGCAAACATGGCAGAACACAACCGATGATGTGCACAGCACGTTGCCAACTCTGGTCCTGAGCATTTTCAACAAAAAGCAGCTGAAGTAAAGGCCTCACTGATCCAGTCTCCTGCACCTGCCTTCCTTTCTGCCCAAGCCCTCGCCCTCATCTAAAATAACCGCTGCAAAATGCTGTCAAGTCTTTTAAACAAAAATCACCATTCTAGGAAAGAATTTTTTAAATTAGGTTTAAAGACTGGGGTCAGTGCATTAATTGTTTTACCTGAAAGTTAACATCTTCTTTCTTAAATATTAGTGCTCGAACTTCATCAGGATCTCCGTTAAAAATAGCTTGCACCAGTGATGGCTAAAATATAAGAGAGTAATAAAACATTAGTCATACCACATGGATGGTTCTATAGCTATTTCTACATAGCTTCCAAATCCAAACTGCTCTCCCCTGCGGCAATAATCACTTTTTAACATTTTCCAGAAGTTTCATGAAGGCAAATCATAGCAAAATACAAGATTCTTCCGGGGGGGTGAGGGGGGGGACAGGGGAGAAGAGCCTGATTTAAAATAAATGAATAACATACACACAAAGAAAAAGAAAACTCAATTTGATTTGACCAAAATTAGATAGCTTAATAAACACAACCAGATATTATTTTTATCTTTTTATAAGCAGAAGCCTTTTGTTTATATATGTAATTGATTTTTAAAAAAGAGTCTTTCAAATACGAGTGTGACATCTCAACATCCAAGGAAAGAGTTTTCAAATGAGCAATTTGCGGGCCAGGCTGAGGCTCAGGAAGGACGTCCCCTTTGAAAAGGTTTGTCTGGGGTATCCAAATACCTCACATGGGTGAGCATTACATGCATACAAACACTGAGGGAGCAAACTGGCGGTTGATGAAAATATTAACGTGGGTGAGCATTACATGCATACAAACACTAAGGGAGCAAACTGGCGGTTGATGAAAATATTACTCAACGGCTAAAAAAGTCTGTCTATCTGAAAAGACAAACACATACATGCATGTCTAAATATAATAATTTCCTAGTCGACAACACGGCCTTTCTGATACGGTATCATGTTCTACTGGTCAAATGCGGAGTCAGTCGACAACAGCATAAATGGTAGGGTTGAGGAAAAAGCCTGCTCTTTCTGACATAAAGTCCAACATAGAAATACATACAATCCATTACAGGGAAGCCCATGCTGGAAGTCATCAACTTTTCCTAAAATATGCAGAGTTCCTGATTCCTCTTACATCAGTTTCTAAAACCACAGAATGAAAACAGAAACGTGGTTGCCATAACTACCACTTCTCAGACTACTTTTTCTCAGACTACCTTATAAAAGTCTTTTTAAGAGACTGAAATAGTCTAGTCTGAAATGTTAACTAAGCATCTAAAAAAGGAAAAATCAGATGTGTGTGTATTTTATACACAAACATTACTTTAACTCGGGTTCTTAATGAAAACTCATAGAAACTAATGTTTACTGTTAAAAAATCCCATCTGTAATACCAGTTCAGCAGAATATAGTAAGCATAGAAACACTCATATCTTACCAACACACTTCCAGAAGGCGGAGAATGTAGGGATTTACTTTCCTGTGGCAATTTAGAAACGGATGCGGATGCGGGAGATTCATCTTCTACCTCCTCCAAAACAACAATACACACTCGACTCATTCGCACTTTACCACACTGGGCTCCCCGCTGTGCGGGAAGTCACAGTTGGAAGGGCAGAGCAATCTTCCCTCTTCTGCACAGCACTTACAATCATCCTCTGCACAGGGCAGCTGGCTTTAACTTTAGCATGTACTGTGAGAAAAGCTGAAGTTCGAAGCTCTATTAACTTAGAAGTTCCTAAAGTAACAAATTTGTATTTTTGAGTCACCGTAATAATTGAAAGCAATTTTACACCAATGTGTTAATAATGAGAAGTCCGGTACAAGCTCACTTAAAAATACTCTTCCCCTATCAGAACAGCCGCGTTAACTCTATCTGAAATTTACTTGCACAAAGTGACCATTGTTTTGGTGACAACACCACACAATGTAAAATGAAATGAGAAACAACTGCTGTGACAGAGGACCACAGCTCTACCCACTCTGGCCTGCAAGGTCATCCGGTGACAGTAGCTGGCTTGTTTATCATTGACAATAAAAACAAAATCTCACTGTGCTGTTTCCACTTCTAATCTGTCTTCATGTCTTCAGTCTCACTGGGTTAATGTAGATACTATCCAGAAACAAATACAATACAATAGCTCTAGAGGTCAGCACAAATTCCAAAAATGAAGCTCAGAGGTTGGTCGACAATTCTTTCTGTGTTTAGGAAAAAAAGCACTGTGCATTAATAGCAAAGCTGCGGTACATTCACATGTGATGAGTCAGACGCCAGAGACAATAGAACTCCTGGTACCAGAACCCAGCTTGAATCCAGGCTCCCGGGAACAGCAGGGACACAGACAGCTCTATTCCCATCGGCAGCAAAGGCCAGGCAGGGGGCTTATCTCTCAGGCTGGTCGGTGGCTGTCCGGCCCTGGGCACAGGCACCAGGCGGAAGCGGTGCTAGTAGAGGACCGTATCGGCGACAGGCTGCGAAGAAATCAGAAGGCTTCCCAGCTCAGATCGCTGCTCCCAGCTTCTCATTGGAAAAGAAAAAGAAAAGAAGCCACAGTAGCTATCACTGCAGTGACCCCCGCGGTCTCCACGGGAAGGCAGCTCCCACTGGGCAGGCCCCCGCCAGCGGGAAGCCGGCAGACTGCATCTCCTGCCACCGCTTGATTCAGCCCTCGGCCTCTGTGCCAACAGTTTCCTTCCACTGCGAAACCGCTACCGCTCCTTCGCAGCAGATTTCAGACGTTTTCCTGCTCCTCAGATGGCCTTGCAAAATGCCGTTCACACCCTCCACGAGCAGATCCTAAACTCCCTTCAGAACCTCGGATCGGGGATCGGGGATCGGATGGGCGTGCTGGCACTCCAGCAGACTCGCGGCTGCGCCGGCCTGAAGAGCTGACTGCAGACCGCAGGACGAGATGCCTAGTAATGCTCACATGTCACTTACCAGGGCGCCGCTCGCTCGGGATGTGCCTCCCTCCGGCAGGGGAGAGAACAGAGCTCTTGGACAGCCTTCGCAACCAGAAGGCCCATGCCAGGGCCGTGACTAACCAGATCGAATCGGAAATTCTATAACTGAACACGAGTGCGCTTTTAACATTTTCCGCTAAAAGCCACAAGGAAATCTGGTGTGCTACCCCTGCTGACTAACGCGGTTGTAGCAAGTAAACAATCCCAAACAGCTAACTGCTCTCGCGTCACACCACAGCCAGCGCTTAACCCTGTCGGGACAGCTGCAAGGAGAAGGCCTGCAGGAAGCTCGTGAAGGGCATCCAGGGAGGAGTCACTACGAACACCATGACCTTACGGTTTTACACTTATTTCCACCACGGCCATTCACTTTTAATCTACCGGGTATATGTTATTTTCTAGAATGGAAAGAAGTTTTGGCAAATTTAAGATTTTTAAAACAATTTCTAAGTTACTAAATTTGATCACTTATTTATATTTTAAAGGGAAAAAATTTCATAATATAGAAATCCTGGGTCATTAAAATTTTCAGTGAAGAAATTAAATGATCCAACTTTCTCATCTAGAGAAAGCCTTAAAAATCTGTTAAATACCTACAGAAAACAAATGTTTAGAATCCTGGATTATCTGCATATGGACACAGAGTAATGCAAAGAAAACAAAGACTCTCCTTTCTCTGTGAGATAATTTTCCCAAAGCTACACATAAGAGATACGTGGCTTTCTCTCTGTGCTTACCTGAAGACAGAGATATTTCTCGACGGAAAACTCAGAAAGAAAGGACCACAACCTACTCTTGATGCGTTCTTTCTTCTACCAACTGGTGATTTTATTATCACTACAGTTATGTTCCACCATTTATGGTGTTATGCTGCTATACATTCTCACTTACTACAATAACTTGTTTATTATTATTATTCTTGTCGGCAGAGGGTGCGTGTGCTCGCCAAAGAGAAGAGAGAGCACAAGAAAGGACCCGTCCCCCATAGGGCATGGCCACGCTGCAGTCCCTTCTCCTCCATTTCTCCCTCCTCTGGGAATTTCGGGCACAGGTATACAGGCATCCAGGGGGATCCAGGACTCAGCTGCACAGCCGCCTTAACCACAGCGGCAGGTGCCCGATACGCTCACCTTCCTACATTCTCCTGTTACAGGAAAACAGACTCAGAGAGGGGGCATTTAAGCCAAAGTCATGCGAATCAGTAAAACTGCCTAATCCCAAACTCGAGCCCCTTCTACCCGCTTCATCTGAGCACTGGTCACGCACGCGCGCGCACACATGGTCTTGAGATCTTGGCAACCTGTATTACTTGCTGTAAAAGTGACCTTAAAAGACACATACCTATAGTATGCTTCTGACTGTTTAGGTGACAAGGGGATACGTAATTCACTGCAATAACAGCCGAACAGGTTAACTTGTTCAACACTAAAAAGATGTTTTTACTTGTCACAGGACGTGTGCGCTAGGCTGAGAAAGGTGGGCTGGGCGAGGAGCAGGGGAGGGAGAGAGAGAGAGAAATAGTGAGAAATTACCCCACCTCCCCCCAAGATGGCCATGCCACAATCCCTTCTGCCTTCTTGTCCTAGGATTTTGGCCACGTGCGTGTGCGCATGCACACACGCCTGGTGCCATTTTTTAAAAAGAGGTTTTTGCTATAGGGTGTGTGCACTTGGCAGAAAGGCAGAGACAGAAACAGAAAGCAAGAAATCACCCCCCAGGCAGGACGACCGTGCCGCAATTCCTCCTCCATTCTCCTCTCGGGATCTTGGGCACGCACGCACACACACCCTGCGTGAGTTTAAGCCACCGGATCCGGGACTCAAACCGTGGGAGTCCAGCGACATAGCCATTACGCTAACTGCTGGCCCCGCGTGGTGCCATTTTTAAGCGCCGGATCCGGGACTCAAACCACAATGACCATGTGGGAGTATAGTCCCTTGACTACACTACCTGCTGGACCAAGAATGTCATGATTTAAGACCAAAAGCCATTAAAAGCTATAGAGCATCAACCTATGAAAGAGCCTGTAACCCTAACGTACCTTAACCAAGATACTAAAATGCTACAGTTTACTTAGTTGTATTTTAAAATCTGTGAAATCCTTTTATTTATTTATTTTTTAAATCATTTTAAATTTTATTTATTCATTTACTTATTTTGACCAGAGAGACACAGAAAGAGAGAGACAGAAAGTGAGAAAGCAAGCCACCAGGTCCAAGACTTGAACCATGGTTGGCCATATGGGAACGTCCAGTGCCTTAACCACCACACCACCTGCTGGTCCCCATGTGAAATCCTTTTAAAGTCAAGTCAAAAGCTATGCTGTTTTAACATGCATAAATGGCTATCTACCTATATGGCTGAATAAAAAGATACCATCTTGATATTCGAAATACCTGATACTGAAACCACTACAGCAAAAACATCAGGTATTACATCTTCAGAACTTTTCTTCCTCCAAGGGACATCTCTTTACATGTGGACAATCTTAACCTGTTCCGAAGTATTGTATTAGTGCGAAGTTCACCTGCTTATGGGACTTAGGCAGGTATAACCTGTTTCTCATTCCAGGTCACCCTTCATACTTAAAGGCCTTTCCCAAACAGAAAACGAGAACAAGCTCCTCGAAGGTAGAGACTGTTCCATGCACGGTTCCCTCTGCTTTGTTTTACCTGTAAATCGTTTCACTGAAGTTAACTCTATTATACAGCAGACTCGGGAACACTGGGAGAAAGGCAAATAACCGGGAGGGACTGATACGTGGCTCAGCACAAAACATGGGGAGAACCAAGGTGCAGCGGGGTGAGCTCCCCGCCCCGATGAGGGAGCAGCTGCGAGTCAGAAGCTGACAGGTGTGGACGCCGACACGGGGAGGTCACTGGGGGTGGTGGGACAGAGTTGGGAGGGTGTGTGCCCATTCACAGAGAATCACAGGGACAACGAGAGTGTCACCTAAGGGTCGGATGCAGATGTGATGAAGAGCTGCAGGAGTCACAGCAGACTTAAGCCAGCTGCAACTTTTTATTTCTAATTACAGTCAGAAAGTAGCTGGTCCAGGGATTCTACAGCACTTCTGTCCCTCGAAGTCCTCAAGGACCCACCAGCGTCTTCTCAAGTTCTGCTACCCTGGACTCTGGTCCTCATCGGCTTCGCCATTCCGGGAAGCAGGCTGAATATGCCAGCTGCCCTTTAAGGATGTCTCCTGGAAGCCACTCTACACCTCTACTTAGAACGCTGGCCAGAACTCGCTGAAGTGGCTTCCTAGCTAAAAAGGAGTCTGAGAAATACGGTCTATTCTGTGAGGCTTTGTACTTATCTAACGGAGCATATTCAGGAGAAGACCGGAAGAATGGATGCAAAATAAAGGTCTCTGCAAAGAATACATGGACATGACTGTCCTATTAGTCAGCATGCTGTATGCAATATTGGGAAGGTACATAACCTTCTACCACTGTAACGCTCCAGTGGGGTGGGACACTTGAGAGCTTCAGTGACTTGTCATTAGGAAGTAGGATGAGATAGACATTAAAAGAGGGAGACAGGATCATAATACATTACATGCAGAAAGTTAAATCTGATCTATTATGAGCATTTTGAGTTTATTTTTTAATTATATAGTGACTATTTCGCAGTTGTTGTGTTAAGCACACAGATTAGTTATATGGATTTTTATTTGTAACCTGAAAAAGTTATTATTAGGGCCAGCAAGTAAGTATGGTGGTTAAGACACTGGACTCCCATATGGCTGTGGTTCAAGTCCCGGACCCAACAGCTTGAAAATCATGCCACGCACACGTGTGCCCAAAATCCCAAGAGAGAATAGAAGAAAAGGGACCGCAGCATGGTTGTCCCCCTGGGGGGTGATTTCTCTTTTTCCCTGACCCCCTCTCTAGCAAGCTCTCACACACTATGACACCAAAAACTTAAATAAATGAATAGCTACTTTACAAAATATTTTCTCCCTTTCCATCCTATTTTCTTTCAAACCTTTCCATAGAACTCTTCTAAAATACATAGACGGGAGAGGCACAGCTCAAGGAGGCTGCTCAGGGTTCTTACATTGTCAGGAATGTTTCCTGAAATGTGTTTTAACCCATTTCCTTAGCATCTTCTCTGCAGGTACGAGCTGTTTATCTTTGAATACTGAGAGACAGCTTTGTACTTACTGTAATCAGTTAATAAAACCTGAGAATTTTACTGCTTTGATACTCAATATGGAGTTCAGACAAACATAAGAGATTCAGGGAACCAGCAGTTAGCGTAATGGCTATGTCGCTGGATTCCCATGTAGTCGACTGCGGTTCGCATCCCGGACCCGGTGGCTTAGAACTCAGGCCGGGCGCGTGTGCGTGTGTGCCCAAGATCCCGAGAGGAGAATGGAGGAGAAGGGATTGCGGCGTGACCATCCCCCCGGGAGGTGATTTCTCACTTTCTGTCTCTATGTCTCTCTCTGTCTGTCTGGCGAGCGCACACGCCCTATAGCGAAAATCTCTCAAAAAAAAAAGAGTTTCACACTGAATATAAAAAAGGGAAAATTACTTGTGGCAGAAAAAGAAACTCTGGCATAATAAAATTAAGAACCTAAAAATAACCTTTCAAAGCCTTAAGGTTTACCAGTAAAATTAAGGTTCACCCTGGCTTTACCACATTGCCCTTCTGTGAGGAGTAGGGATAAGCTCTGGATAGGAGACATTTTAGTATGAAGATTTTTTTTTTTTTGGAGAGGTTTTTGCTATAGGGGGCGTGCGTTTGCCAGACAGACAGAGAGAGACATAGAGACAGAAAGCGAGAAATCACCCCCCAGGGGGGATGGTCACGCCGCAATCCCTTCTCCTCCATTCTCCTCTCGGGATCTTGGGCAAGCACGCACACGCGCCCGGCGTGAGTTTTAAGCCACGGGGTCCGGGATGCGAACCACGGTCGACTAT